CTGGCATGATGTGACATTTTCTGCATGTGTCATTTGTGAGTGTTGTATCTTTGAGTATGTGTTTTCTGTAGTTTTTAGTATTTATGACCTGATCCTGTATGGCAATCATGAATCCTTCTGTCTCCCCAAAGAGGCATCCCTGAGAGCTAACCAGCTGTTTGACACAGTTTTGTCAAAAAATCCTGGGCCAGGTCGTAGGGATGCCTGACATGGAACTCCTTTTGAACCCACAATTGCTTCATGGTGTCTATGCTTTTTATATGTTTTGAGTGTAAATTTAATGGTGTGTTATTTGAGTCTGCTAGAGTTTCTGCTTTATGTAATTGTGATGTTTCTTGTTTTTTATAGAAAAACTCTTGTAGTGTCTGTGTTTGTTTGTAGTGAAGGTTAACTATGTCGATCAGGCCACGTCCACTATCTTTATGCGGAAGGGTTAATCTTTCTATGGCAGATTTAGGATGATGTTGTTTATGCTTAGTAAGTGTTGTTCTTGTTTTTGTTTGGAGTTGCTCAAAATCTGTGTGAGTCCAATGTATAACTCCAAAAGAGTATGTTAGTACTGGGATGACATATGTGTTTATTGCTTTATCTGTGTGTTTTGCATTTAACTGTGTTCTGAGGATAGCATTTAACCTACTTTGGTGTTCTTTAATTAATCTTTGCTTTATTTGTGTATGTTCTGTTAGTTTGGCCTGTTGGAATCCTAAATACTTGTAGAACTCATCCTCTTCCATGGATCTAGTAACGTCTCCATTTCCAAGTGCAAAATCTTTCTTCGGGATTCCTTTTTCTGTGTGAAGTGTTTTGCATTTGTCTAGACCAAACTCCATTCATATGTCCTTGATGTATGAATGTGTGATTTGTAGGAGTTGATGAAGTTGTTTTTGTGTGGGTGCATAAAGTTTTATGTCGTCCATGTACATGAGATGTGACAGCATAAACTGTGTTGTTTTTTCATGTCTGATATTGTAACCATATTGTGTGCTGTTTAACATGTTGGATAATGGGTTCAGGGCTAGGCAGAACCAGAGAGGACTCAAGGAATCTTGAAAACTTCCTCGGCTAATGAATATTTGGTTTGTTTATATTGAAGTGTTACTAACCCTGAGATGTGGTGTTGTTCTCCAGTGCTGCATAGTGTTTTGGAAGAATGCTTTTCTGTAGTCTACATATTCCATATGTATGTTTCTGTGTTGTTTGTGTGCTTGTTGTAGAATGACAAAATCTATGAGTAACTGTTCTTTGCATGCCCTGTGATTTCTATGGCTACCATTTTGTTGTTCTGTAAGAATGCTGTGTTCTTCAACATGTTTGTATATTTTGTTTACAATGCAGGATGTCAATAATTTGTAGTGTTGGAAGATATGTAATTGGTCTGTATTGTGTGGGGTCTATGGTATTGTTGTTTTCAGGTTTCATGTAAGTGATGCCCTAAGTAAGAAATTTTGGCAGGTCTTCTGTATTGACAATGATTTGTATTAGGTGTTTAGCTAGTTCCTGATGCAGTGATGAAAACTTTTTGTATCAGAAATTGTGAAAGTTGTCTACACCAGGTGTCTTCCAGTTGTGTGTTCTGTTCTTTCCAGTTGTGTGTTCTGTAGTGGATGTTGTGTACATTTATTTCAGCACAGGGCATAGTTGGTATGTTGTGCAAGTTTTTGCTCTCCTTCTCAATCCAGCCTGCATCAGCATTGTGTGTAACAGCATTGGACCAAAGAGAAGACCAATAAGTTTTGAGTTCTGCTTCTGTTGGTGTACCATTGTGCTGTGTATCACTGTTTGTTTTGGTACTAATTTGTCTATAAAAGAGTTTTTATTTGGTTGTAAATAACTTATTTGTTGTTTTCATAGTGTACATGTTTTGTATCATGTGAGTCTACTTGATTTGGCAGTGGGTTTTTGTTTTAGTGTATCAATGCACTCTGTAATGTGCATGTTGTGATGTTCATGTTTTGTCTGTTTTTTCATTTTCCTGAAAATGTTTTTGAGTTGTTTCTTTAATTTGGGTGTTATGTTTTATTATTATTATTATTATTATGAATAAGTGAAATAATTTCAAAATGTCATATTNTATGGTTTACTTGATTAAAGTGTTGGCCTACATGTCTTGATTTTAATTTAAATTTATAATTTTGACATTGTTTCTCAGAATTAATTCACTTTTTTATTTAATAATATCATTTGCACGTAAAGATAAATAATGAATTTATATAATTATTAACATTTTGTTTCTTTAATTTGGGTGTTATGTTTTATTATTATTATTATTATTATGAATAAGTGAAATAATTTCAAAATGTCATATTTAAAATTTATCAAAGTCAATTAAAGTAATTCAAACTCAATTAAAGACAATCATTTTACATCATAAATAATAATTTAAAATAGCTTTAAAATCATTGATAAACAAGGAACTGCTTTATAGGCTCCCTGCTTATAAGTTTTGCACTACCAACATTGCAGTCACCCACTCATAGGCTGCAGATTATCAAAAGAACTAAGACAATCAAAACAAACCTATGCAAAAAAGCAATTCACATCAACACTTAAAAATAGTATTGATTGACCAATTAACAAGAAACTGACTCTGCATGAGTTATGTATAGTTAATTGATGCTGCTGAACACTAGATTGAAAGTGTTTCCAATAAGATGCCAATTTTGGTTATCTTAAATAAGCCATTTTTTTAATTATTTGAGTAAATTGAAAACAGTTACCTAATGGTTAAATAAGTTTTGGATCAACTGGATGTTAGGAATGAATGGATCAGTCAATCAAGAAATGTTTATCCAATTGGTTGATCCATTTACTCCTAAACATTTAGTAAGGATTTTTTTACATTGTGATATTTAGTGCCTAGAATTGATCTGCTTTTTATTTTTTATCACAAACATATCACTCTTTATGATTATTGTTTTAAAATTTTTATGTAGAACCAGACTATAATCTTTTTTTTCTTTAATTAATTTATCAAAAATCTGTTTAATTATTACATTGGCTAGTTGGAGAAATCCATCAACAATCAAGTAAAACAAAACAAATAAAAAGAGTGTTCAGAAAAAAGGCAAGTTGGAATGGCAGTAACAATATCTATGACATGCACATGGTCCGGATGCCACTATTTTCCACCAACTGTCATATGACACACTCATGTACAACTAAAAATAAGAATATTCTTGCACTTTTTATAAAGTTTCTGATTAGTTTATTCAATGGACAAACATCAATTATTTTATTTAAATTAAAATTCCAGAGTGTTTATAAAAATACAGTATCAAATACCCCATTCAAGTTAAACAGTTTTATGAATTCCAGTTAACTAGTTTGATTTAATGTGTAAATCACTATGCTAGATAATTGGGGAAAGAAAATGACTTTGAGTAAATGAAACTTCAAGTTATCCTAGTTCAAGTTAAAGTAAAACCTCATTATTTCAAAACTTAAGGGGCCAAAAACAATGTGACTTCAACTTATCCAGGTTCAAATTATCTGAACGTTTTTTTTTTAATCAAAGTTTTTTGTAATTCTTGAATTAAATTATGACATTATTTCATACAATTTCACCCGTTCATTTACAAATGTGTTAATATGAGTTATTTAACGTGTTTGTTAATATTACTTAATATTATTAGTAATTTAAGCTATTTTGAAAAACCATTAGTTGACATGTACTTAATGAAAACATAACCAAATTACATTCAAAGCAAGAGCTGAAAATAACATACGAAAAAACCTTAAGTACTTCTAGAAGAAATTTGCAGTAATTCTTATAGAAGACCAATAATAGTTCTGCGAAGAATTCAGTCTTGAGTTTGAGATCATGAAAATCATATGACAAAAATAAGCTTTATTAATGGCTAAAGCTATAAGTATGCATTCTATCATGAATGCACACATGTATTTAATGGACTTTGGAATTATTGAAACAATAGATTTTGCTAAAAAATGTCCAAAATAATTAAATGTCAATCAAATTTCTTCCATAAAAATAAAATAATTCTTTCTTCATTAGCACCACTGTGCAATGTTTAAATGACCATGAACAGACTTCCAGTAAATTGATGCATAATTGGTGAAACTGATGCTACCACTTAGGCATGGAAACTTTCTTATAAACACATAATATGAAAGAAGATTTTGAATTAAATGATATTTTTGTGGGTCACTGGACCAGATAATGACTTCAAATTTCATTCCACGTGCATTTTGAATTGTTTGAACTAATATATATGCAAAATCCTATTCTCTTGGTCAGAGACTAGACATGACTTCAAATTATGCAATACTTCAAATTATCCAATATTGAAATAACAAGGTTTTACTGTAACCAGATTCCCCTGTAATTATTTGGAGGTTGGCATATGAGAATCAGAAGCAAGAAACGTATATGCTTTAATCATGTGAACCATAGACCAATTAAAACATGACGACGACTCAATTTCACACTTTCCTATTCAAAGATTAATATCCATTTTGTACAAATTCATTTCAACCTATCCTTTTCAACTAAAAAGGACAATATGTCAAAATGTATCTATACAAAATGATATGAATATTTGAATTTAAAAAAAAAAAGTGTTAAATTGAGTCATCCTTGTGTTTCAGTTGGTTTATGGTTTACTTGATTAAAGTGTTGGCCTACATGTCTTGATTTTAATTGAAATTTATAATTTTGACATTGTTTCTCAGAATTAATTCACTTTTTTATTTAATAATATCATTTGCACGTAAAGATAAATAATGAATTTATATAATTATTAACATTGTGAAATAATTCAAGACAAATAATTTTATATTAATATAAATTTTTATTCAAATACAATAGTTTTTGATTAAAATGAAAGTTTTTAAAATATTAATTTTTAAAAAAATACGTTACTTAAGAAATATTAGGTTTAATTTATAATTATTTATGATGATTTTATTTAAAATTTATTAAGATTTAATTTAAATTATATAAATATTTGAATTTTTATCATCACAAACATCTTTATTTCTAGTATCAGCAAAAATAAATTTGTGTACATTGCATTAAGAGATGTAGATCCATTGGAAAGGTAAATATAGATATATATATATATATTTTTTTTTTTTTCTTACAAAAAATAGTGCTATATTATAGCATTAAAAAATCTGTTATAAAAACATAAAGCAATTCAATAAAATAATGTGCATTATTTCATCTAATTATTATTTATATTAACAATTAGATAATGATGAAGATAGCTAGGATTACTAAAACACTTCAGTTATGTTAAAATACATAAGCCAACATATACTTTATATGGGTTCTGAAGCCTATTATTCAACAATTTTATTCTGCTATATACCAAATAGATAAGAAACTTATAGTACTAAATACACACACTGTTAGATGATGTTAAAATCCTTTTTATAAAGCAAGTACTTTCAGTGATACAAAATCGTCATCAGGTTAGTGAACATCTCAAATTTGGAACAGAAAGTCACTATATGCACTACAGAATTCTCAACGTTTAAACATTTAAAGTTTACAATAGAATTCGAAGCTCACAATTAGAAAAAAGAACAAAAATTTTAAACAAAAGGTGTAGTAGAACTCTCAAAACATTTTTATGGCCTGACTCCAATGGCATAGCAAACATAACTGGCACCTGGGGCATGACACTATATTGGCGCTCCCCCCAGAAACAAATCTTTTTTGTCTTGGAGATCATTTGGCGCCCCTCTGCAAGTGGCGCCCGGGGCACGTGCCCTACTTGCCCCACCCTAACTATGACTCTGCCTGACTCCGTAGTATGTTATGACATGGGACAACTAGGATAGTGTGGCATCGTAGTTAAAAAATTTTTAAAGTGTGATCCACAACTTAGGGAGTCAAGTGTGTGTATATTGCACAGACACAAGGTAAAAGTGAGGCGTGCTTCCCAAATAAATAATACCCTATGATTGGCACACCTGAGGGTGGTTTGGGTCCACAAAGGGTTAAAATTGGACTCTTTTTCGGTCAGTGCTGTGGAACATCTACATTTTGTGATATCCTTCTAGTGCTCTGCTAAATGGCTCACCAGCATTCTGGCCATGGCACCAATATACCATATATTTTCCCTAGTTGTTGGGTGCAAAAGAGGTACAACATAAACTCCAGATTTCTTGAGAAGGAAGAGAGATAAGAAACTTAAAGTGAGTCTGAATAAAAAAAACTCTGGGACTATCAAGTCTTAAGCAGGTTTGATGAAGGGTATTGCAAAGGTTTTTGTAATTGATTGATACAATTAGTACATTTTTTATATGACTTTCAGGCTTTACTTGACTGAGTCAGCTCACCTTAAGGCACTATCTTTTCGAATAGTAGAATTTAGAAGTGTTTATTTCAAAACCTGTTGGATTTATTGCATATTTTAGTTAAACAGCCTTATTTTCAGAACAGCTTCTGGTTTAAACTCCTGGTGGGGACTATTACAGATTATATGACTAGTACAAGGATCAGAAGCATATACTTCAGAGTCTTATGACAGTCTTTAAGAATTCCATAGCGCCTGAAGAAGAACCACATTAGGTTTGAAAATGTTTGCATAGTCCTCTGCTTTCATTGGAGAAGAAGCACACCGGTTACAGGCAGTGAAGTTGGATTAGTTTTTAAGAATGTTTCTGCAATTCCCAACACCACTCTTTTGCTCATTTAAAGAAGGCCTGACTGATAATTTAAGTCAGTAGTTGATGAATTACTACATTTTAGCAAAAAACGTAATAAATATGAAAGCATAGTAAATAACATTGCATAATGAATCGAGAAAAACTAAGCCTGAAGGATAAGTCAAGAATTTATGAAATAGTTGTAATAGATCAAAAAACAAAATAATTACTTAAACTGTTTAAACAGATATTAGCAGAGTATAAAGATGATCTACAAAATTTATTATTATTAATTAGTTACCTACTATAAGTCAGATATGACTTGGGATGACTACTTTCCACAATAATGCAGTAGTAGTAGTAGTAGTAGTAGTAGTAGTAGTAGTAGTAGTAGTTCCTCCAATGCTAGGTAGCATACTGAACAGCAATTATCTTTCATCAATTTCAATCATGGGCGAGGACTTCAGCTTTCTCCCAAGTCATCTTGAGCATCTTCAAATCTTGAAGAAAAGTTTTACACCAAGTATTCCTGGGGCATCCTCGTGGTCATTTGGCACCAGGGGAAACTCATTTTATGGCTGTCTTAGGGATTCTATTGTTCTCCATTTGAAAAATGTGGCCAGCCAGTCAGACTCTTCTACAGGCAACAATGTTATGAAGTTTGCACATCCCACTCCTTTGGAGAATCTCCTCATTGGGGATATGATCTAAATATTGGATCTTTAGCATTCGTCATAGGCATATCTGTTGGAAGACAGTAAGCCTTCTATTGATGTTTCCTGGTGTCTGTATGTGAGCCATGAAGAGTGACACAAACATGGCGTAGGTCATATTCTGAGTAAACGAGCAACAAAAGCATTACTTGGATGGAGCCCTTCAGTGATTGGGTTATTATAGCTTGCTTTACCCACGGACATACCAAAGCAACTGTGGTGCAGGTTTATGTTCCAACTAACACAATAACATAAATAAATAAAAATTCCATTAAAACACAATAAAGGACAATAAAAAATGAAACAGATACAAACTCAAAATTAAGAAGTGTGAATAATAAGATTAAAAGTGCAAAAAGTATAAAAGTTACAAAAAATTCAGCAATGAGTTTCATAACTTTTCCAACTGTTATCAAATTTTATTTTAAAAGTAAGTTTTATTTTATTAATTATAAAAAGGCAAAAATCTTAATTTTGAAGGTACTGATGAGTTTTATAAAGAATCATAAATGCTAATAACAAGTAAAATTTTCATTAAGTCTGATCCCAATCAAGATATGGTACATGATCACCCTCTATCTATCCACTCTCTCAACCATAAACCACCAAAATTTAATAGCATCAGTGCCTGCCTCTTGTATACAGGTTACTATGCCAAATTTTGTTTCTTAATCTTTATCCCATCCTGAGATATTAAATGAAATAGATGACAATGTGCATATGCACACACAATTTTTTTCCTTGTTTACTTCTTTTTGGGTTCAGGGTCTTAAAATGTCAAGATATGCGGAATAAAACTGGAGGGTCAAATTTGATGATTCAAATAGTTTCTCATGTTATTAAGTATAACAGCTGGAAAAGTAGAAACAAGGTAATAAATTAGAACTTTCAATTTAAACAATAAGTTAAATGACAATAGAGAGCTTTAATATGAGAGAAATCATAAAACAAGAGATCTGTGATTTGTCTGACTTTGATGACTATGCAGTAAAATAAGGACCTTTTGGAGATATCAAGACTAAAAGACTTACTATGACACCTTGTGAACATGCAGCCCAAGTTTATTACTTCCAAATGTTTTTGGTTATGTTAAATGACCTTTCTCAAGAAAAAGAAAAAACAAAATAAAATTTTGGGCTAAACTTGGGCTGCACATTCACAAGGTGTCATAGTAAGTCTTTTAGTATTGAATAATATGTAGTCTCGAACGAATGGAGATAAAGATAAAAATTAGGAAGAGCAATGTATACAGTATCATATTGTGAGTTACACGAGTAAGAACTGTCAAGCTCAATTTGTCAGTATACAGGATGGCATGAAAATGTTTGGAGAATAATACAGTCAAAATATTCATCACATTTATTTAAAGCTAGGAGGCCCAGTCTGGATCTGGCAGTCTCATCATTATCTATGATCTTTAAGTTAGAAAGTTGTGTATACAAATATAGATCTTGTTGAGAGTATCTCTAACTTTTTGGTGAAAATATAGAACCAGCAGTAGCCCAAACTGGCAGGCAGTAGACAACCAACTGAATTAATTTTTTGAAAAATAAAGCTCTAAAAAACAGAAACAATCTGGTAAGTGGTGACAATGGTGCCATAATAAACTTTCCTTAATTGCCAAACTTTTAACCATTTTTTTTTCAGTATGTTTACTGAAAGTAAACAGTTAATCAAAATTACTGTGTAAATCATTGATCTGATTAATGTAATTAATGGATTTGACATTTAAATAAAAGGAAAAGGATACAAGGTTACAAAGAAGGAATAACATCATGACAGTGATATCTAAGTTAATTCTTAAATTATAAGCTGTAAGATCACTACTAAGTTAATATCCATTTATAAGATTGTGGGATTAAAAGTTTTAAATCATTGGCACACAAAACTGTTTGATTTTATAATAGTAGCCAAAATAAAATTGTAACAAATGAAAAAGTGACTACTCGGAACTAATCTTGTGAAATTCCACACAATGAGGAAAAAGGACAAAATTGAAAGTCATCTAGTTTAACAGTAAAGGGCATATTAACATACAGTTATTCAGCTAATAAATAGTAAGATGATATATATCAAAGTAATCAGACAAAATATCAAGCAAATAAGAGGTTATTTCAGAATCAAAAGTCTGTTGGAGGTCAAGGTAAACAAGATAAGTGGATTTTTGTCTAGACTAAATGTCTAATGTCAATTTTTATGAGAAAGTAGTAAAATCACAACACTGTTAGAGAATGCTCTAAATCAGTGAGTCATGGATTACTGATGGTCCACAAAGAAAATTTTAGTGGTCTGTGGAGAAATTTGGACGTTGATCAACTCAAGGTTATGCTGTATTATGAAAGAAATGCAAAATGCTTGGTAGTTTATTCTCATTCAGTGGGAGTTTTTTATTCAAATCTAATGTAAACCAAATATGAAATGACTGTTATCAATAAATAATAATGTCAATAGATTAATAAATAATTAACAATAAATAATGTTGTGAGTGTGACTGTTGTCCATCATAGAAAAGAGCCAAGAATCCTGAAATTTATTTCAAACAAGCATACACTAATTTGTTATAGTTAAACAAGTGAATTTCATATTAATAAAGTAAATGGAACTTCTATGATCATTATTCTATAGATGTTTGTATTGTTTAAAAACTTCATGATAGTGATCCATGGGATTTAGAATTGTGAATTTAGTGGTTCGTGAGGTCAGAAAGGTTGGCAACTACTGCTCTAAAAATCAAACAAAAGTTAAATGAGACAAACTCAAACTGATACAATAGACACTGAATAACTCAGAATATTAGACAAAATATATCAGGAAAGATTTAGTCAACATCAAGGACTTATAGATATTGATTATTTATTAAATTAAAAGCACAAAAAGATCTGATTGGTCAGAATAGCACATCCATATGTGTATAAATATTCAAAAAATGAACAACTGATTCAAAGTAAATGACAGAATATAATTTTTTTGAAGATTTAATTCTTGAAGGAGAAATTTTTGGAAAAATTTTAACTGTTTCTGAATTTAATCATTTAAAATTGTAATTTTGAACATTCTGATGATAAATAGATCAAGCTCTCAAAAGTACCTAACATGAAACACCACAAGTTTAATTTTAATCTTGTTAAAAGTGATTCTGTCAGGGAAGTTATTTTTATTGTACTGTACATGGTCATTGCTACAATGAAGGCTGTGCAGATGCTTAAAAACTGATGAGTTATTCAGCTAATAAGTAGTAAGAGGATGTATATCAAAATAAAATGCAGCTGCAACTTAACAGAAGCAAATGTACTTGAACAATGAGAAGGTGATATGAAGTGGATGTGGGAGAAGTTAACATTGGTTATTCTTCTAAGCTAATAAAATAATAAAATTAATTTTAAATATGGCTGTAAGAACAGAAGACTATATTACAATGATTAAATATACAAAATGCAGAGATCTTTAAGAATAAAAGTCAGAAGTAAATAGAACAATAATGAAAATAGATTGATAAAGTAATATAAAATAAAGAAAAAGGAATGGTAACAAAAAGATAAAAATTACAGTACATAGGCATAGTTTGTAATGGAAACTTTTTCCAAATGTTCTGCTGTAATTTTAGAAAAATCTGTTGTATTTATTTCATTTAAAATGTTTTTATATTTTTACTAGGTGACATGTTATTTCAAGTTTTTTTCATTTCTATAAAAATGATCACCTGCCACATACTTTTTATTGTACTATTATTTTTTGTAACTTTAGATATGTCTTTAGTTTTCTTCCTTATCATGACCTATCCCTTTATCTTTGTGGTTGGCACTTGCAGGGAAATTTTGGCTCAAATTACATAATCAACAGCAGAGAGGAGATAAAAGCCAGTGATTGGAGAAAAACAGAGAAGGCGAGGGAGAGAGAAAGGAAATAGAAGGAGTGGAGAAAGAAGTGTAGGGGGAGATTTGGAATTATTCTTGAGGAATCTTAGGACTGTGTTAGGAAAGAAGTCAAGTAAGGGCAAAGGAGAGAAAAGGCTGTTTTGTCAATTTGAAAGAAATTAAGTAGTTTTATATCTCTGTACAGGTAGCCTACCACTATTTGAAGAATATTTTTTTCTTACTATTCTATTCTATCCACTGTTTTTTTAAATTGTTTCTTTTTTTAAGCTAACATTAATTTTAAGAAGAAATTAACTCTCATCATGTCATTAAGATTGTTGCATAACATTACTTGCTGGTGTATTATTTGAGTAATTTCTGTGAAATATATTCTCTTATAATTATAACTGTATTCATTGGACTGTCTATCTCATACAAAATTGAGTAACATCTCACACACAATTACTAGTTTCAGAATATATTGATTCTAAGAAAGCATAAAAAAAAAAAAAAAAAGACAACTGCTAAACTGGTTAAAAATCTGAAAAAGGGAAGGGATGATAAAAGTAAGCATTTTCAAGGGAGAGTTAGGTAATGAGCAAAGTCTGTCAGGAAGTAGTAGTCAACTTTAAGACTGTGATCAGAGAGATAAAAGTAACCACACTCTTGAGTCCAATTCATTACTTTTTCTTCATTTGTTGAGCAAAGAAAGGGCAGACATTGCTGTAGTAAGTCTTTGGTCATTCTGATAGAGAGTAATCTCATGTCCAATAAAGCAATCTCCAATTCTTGTCAACAGGGGGTTGCATGTTGGTTGGTCTAAAACTCTTTGGCCAGGACTGTTGATGTCTGTTATTTCTTTAAATTCTCCTTTTGCTCTCTTAATTTGGTTTTAAGAGTACAGCAAGTGCTATCCAGGTAAAAAATTATTATTATTATTATCATTATCATCTGACTGGAATTTTGTGTATTTTACCCTAACATTTTTTAGAAAAACGCTCTATAATTTAAATGAAGTCATATGTAATCATAACACCTTTGTCTGTGAAATGCTTAAAGAGGATCCTAGTTCCATAGTATTGATATTAAAAGTATGCTTGTCTCCTCAGGTGTGCTCTCTCTAATGTAGAAAATTTGGTGCTTGATGGTATTGGACAGGTTGTGGATAAGCTGGCAAGAAAGGCCAAAAGATTCTGCTATATCTATAATTCTTAGAGTTTTGCAAGTCAGCAGTTTTATATGAACACAGAAAAGCTCAATGCAAAAGAGAACAAAAGGCTGCAATTTTGTACTTAGGAGAGTCATGAGAATGAAAGTGGATGTAAGATTGTACAGCCAAAGGTTTTTTATACATGACAGTTCTAATAGAATCCTTTAATTCTTATGTCAGAATCAAGATAATGGACTGAAGTTTTATGACCTGGTCAGTTTTCAGGGAGAGACCAATATTGTTCAGATTAATCTGTCAAACAAAATCCTTATATGCCTTAAGGTCATTCCAAACTATAAGAAAGTCATCAATGTAACAAAAAATTGCTTTGATATATTTGCTAAAGACACTGATAGCCATAGTCTTGGCAAAAGTCAGAGTTTGGCAAACTGTTCAGTAATGGGTGAGCTGATACACACTTCCTTCGATTGTTTATAAAAGTTAGTGCCAAACAGAAGATGAAGAATAGATGTTGATGTATACATACTCCAAAGGTATTTGATTCCAGTCTTTCATCATCATACTGTGAGAGTATATAGATAACTTCCTGCTTTAAAGGAGGATACAGGTTTTTATAATCAAGCACTGTAAAAGATTACATCTTAATGCATTAAATTGCTGAACATGTTCAACTACATTATATGAATCATCAATAACATAAGAGTTCCTTTGAGTGAGATTTTTAATGAAAGATACCAATCTTTCTTTTATTCTTCAGATAGTGAAAAGTGTTTTTGTTTTACACCTGACCTTATGCATATTTGGAAAGCCAAACGGTCATGGAAAAACTTATTTTGCCAGTATTCTAAAAAAGAGGCAAAATGGAATTCTGAATGGCTTTAACTTTAGTCAACAGCATCAGGATAGGATTCTTAGAAAATTCTTTGCATTCAATATTGTTTTAAGTGCTCAAAGCAGTAAGGAAGATGTAGGACATGAAGATGAAACTCCAGGAAAAAAATAGTCTTTTAATATTAATAAATCCTGTAGTACAAACAAAGTCTTTAATAATAAAAGTGATCTCATAGCTTTGTGATAATGTGTTCTTTGGATAATTGCTGGTATTTTCCCTTTGATAGTGTAATAAACAGATTGTTTGCATCTTTTCTTCTGACTTTTTTAATTAAGACACTGACTAAATTGCTGCAGCTGGATTTGTTGGGTAGTTGTCTTTTTTGGGCAGCTTCTTTCAGGTCCCTTGGCAATTGGCCTTTTGGTAGCTTGTTGAACTTTACTACACAGCATCCAAACAGGCCTTATCAAACTTTGAACAGGTCCTTAGCAAATTTGCATTTGTGACTTCTAGCAAACAATTCAAACACCACTTATGATAAAAAATCATTTTCTGAACTTGAATTGTTTTTGGAAACATCCTCTATACATTTTTAGGTGGTAGCTGATGCTTATAAATCCATTTAATCATCTTCACATATCTAGATTGCATTTTTTTTCTGTCTTTGATCAAGCAGTCCAATTTCAGTCCAGTTTATCCTGAGGTCAGCATTGGTCTGCAATTGCTTCCAGTTTAAACTGCATCCATTTACAGATAATAGACTCCTACTACCCTATCTCTATTAATTAAGAATGGAAGTTGTCAAGTAAGAAGTACATGTACATAGTTAGGGATGGGTGTCAATGGTCATATATCATACAACATCCAAACATTATCTAAATAAATTTAGGCAACTTGGTTATCAAGCTGATTCATTTGTGTGTTTTCTAATGATGCTCTTGGTTGCAAGTGCTTGGAAAACTGTTATTCAGAATGAGCTCAACAAAACAATTTTTGTTATTTTAAAAATAAAGAAATAATTAGCATTAATAATTTTATAGTTTATGCTTTTAATGCAGCCATGTTGACCTTTAGGATATGCCATAATTTTAATTAATTAATATGAAAAGAACTCCAACTTTTTAAAAATAACAAAAATCAAACTGCTTTGCTGGAATTCACTTTTATTTACAAATTACTCTTTAGCACTTTTGGACAGCCAAGTCCATTGTTAAGGGATGAACAAATAAATTTAGTTAGTTTAGTTTAGTTAACTACAAGCAGATGTAACATCAACAATTTACAACATGAAGTAGTATTCTTAGTAGGAATGAGGTATTTTGATCCTTACCAAGAAAACTGCTTAGATCATTAATTCAATTGTATGTCTCTTGACAATGGATTTGGTTGTCTGAAAGTGCTAGAAACTAATTTATAAATAAAGATGAACTCCAGCAAAGCAGTTAGGTTTGCAACATTAAGTATTTTTAAATCAGAATAAGATGGAATTTATAACAAATAATTTTATGTCAAACATATTGTTTACTAATATGTATACAAAATGATTTTAAATCAATGTTGTCAATATTTGATTTTTTTAATATTTTATTTTGATAATTGCAATTTAATAAGTTTTTATATAATGATTTTTAAATTGTGTTTTAAAAATATTTTAGTACTGTATAATGATTACAATAATGATTATTATTTTTTTTTTACAGAAGATTTCTTCAAAATCTAAGCATAAAATACTACACTATGAGAGAAGTTGATAAATTAGGAATATACAATGTCATTTGTATGGCTTTAGAAAATATTAATCCTCAGTATGTGTAAATATATTTTTACATTTTTAAAATCATTAAATAATTATTGTTTTCCTGATTAATATAAATTAGTAGGAATATCAAAATGAATACATATTTAATGAATAAGTTGACTCAATGTATTTCCAGAGTGATAATATTTATTAATAATTAAGAATATTTTAAGTATTATTTAATATGGTTAAATCAATATCAATTTTTAGACTGGTTAATTATTTATTATTTAAAATTTTCATGTTTGTAAAATTTAAAGAAATTATATATTATTTTAAAATGCAATAGAGCATCAATTATCCAAAACAATTCAGGATTGGAGTTGTTCGGTTAACTGATCATGAATGAAAAAATATATTAACCTCTCATATTGAAATTTTTTCTCCATTGCATGTCGCTTAGCATTGAATTTTTGTCAATGAAGTCTAACGAAAATTTTTTTAAAATAATAATCGTGGTTATTGTATCATTAAAAATTATTTCTTTATTTTGCACAAACAAAATAAATATATTGAAAAATATAAAAACAAAAAAAAATTATATTTCAGAAGTTAATCTAATATCAAAAATGTTCCGATTCAGTACAACACACATCCAACACACAGTCCTCAGGAAAACACCACACAAAACAAGCAAAATTCTTTCTTTTGTTGGAGATGTCAGCTGCTTGAGCTATATTCTCCGACATGCTGAAGCAAAACACACCACTTGGGATGGGGGGTAAGCCTCATTCAAATACTGGTACATCCTTAAGTACCCTCTCGACGTGTGTTGTGCTGAATCGGAACATTTTTGATACTAGATTAACTTCTGAAATATAATTTTTTTTGTTTTTATATTTTTCAATATACAGTAATACCTCGACTTATGTGATTTTCAAATCTCGTCGATTTGTCTTTTGTTTGAGCAGAATGCAACTCTTGATTACTCACTCCCCCTACACTCTTGTTCAGCTTACATGTTCGGACGTGTCGCGTGGAATCGACACATAGCTACAATTTATTTTGTGTTATTTATTTCTGTGTTTGTTATATCTACAGAGACTTGAGAGACTCTATGTGGTGATTTCTTGCAACCGTGAATGAATCAAAAGACGAGATAAGATTAACGAGAACATTTATTAGCTTACATACATCTGACTTGGATTTTACACAGATTGCAAAATTATACCCCGACTTACGCGGTTATCGCTTGGTCCCACCTATCGCGTAAGTTTGGGATATTACTGTACAGTATTTATTTTATATGTGCAAAATAAAGAAATAATTTTTAACGATACAATGTGGTCGCGCCAGTGCTGTCAGCTAAAACATGCACACCAACAAAAATAATATTGGAGTAGCCCAAGACATAGCCAAATAGTGCAGTGCCACAGCACTAGTGGAAATTTGAATTTGCCAGTTGGAATGCTTTCGGTTAACTGATGTTTTGGTTGATTGGTATTTGTATAATTGATGCACCACTGCAGGCCTCGCAACCTATGACCTGTGGATCACTGAGTGACCCATATCATAATTTAAAGTGACCCACTTGAGTTCTGAAAATAAAATATAATACAGTATATAAAATAAATTATAAAACATAAATATAAAACAAACACTTGAAAAATACATAAAAAAAATAAACTAAATATAAATAATAACTTTTGTATGATTACGAAGTTGCAGTAACGAACATGCATTTTTATTTTTAAAATATAAAAATTGTAACATAATTTCAAGCAGAAATCAATAAGTTTGGCAATACAGATCCATAATTCCTTAACAGACATGTGGTAATACTGGTGAGACCATTTTAAAATCAAAATACCACTGACTCGCAACGTCTTCTTAATACACACATTTTGGTTGATTTTGACCCGCAGTCAAAAAATGTTGCCGACCCCTGTTCTACTTGTATCGGCAATGAATGAACATTTTTAAGAATAAAATATCCAAGAAAGTACAGTGTTCCAGTGAGGGACGACAGATTTATGCAAGACTTGGTGTACATCGGCTCCACCAAATGTTCCATCCAACAGAGAGTTCATGAGCACAAATACGACATAGACCATGCTCGATACACCATCACCCTATCCATCTATGCTACCGACCCAGAAATTCACGGGAACCTGTCCAATGCAAGCTGATAAAAAGGGCCTTTCTCATGGATCACATCAGGACCCTCAAGGCCTTTAAAAATATATAAGGCCGGCCTGACTGGTAGATGTATCAACTTTAAGGACAGCAATGCATTATCGTATGCCTGGCGCTATGTATGCAAGGAACAAGAGGTTGCTGATGCTGATAAAGTAGAGAGACAGAAATTAAGCAATATCGTACAAAATGCTTCCTTTTATGAAGACTTGGATTTTAATGATTAGACCATTTAATAGAATGTGAAATTCTGTTTCATTTATCCTATCATTATTTAGAAAATGTTATGTGAAAATGTATTTTAATACAGTTTTCTAACTCTAGTTATTTCATAATATTTTAAATTTTCACTCGTACTTAATTGTATTGTATAAAAATACTCAAAAATTCAAATTTTCTATCTTTTCTGACTTACGGAGGATAAACAACTTCCAAATTCTAAATCTTTAATTTAATCTCATTGTGTAAACAATGTGATAAAATTAAAGATAAAAAAACTTAAAACAAACCAACTTTGCAGAGAGAAACACTTTAATTACTTATCTTATTGTTTACACGATGAGATTAAATTAAAGATTAGAATTTGGAAGTTGTTTATCCTCCATAAGTCAGAAAAGATAGAAAATTTGAATTTACAAGTATTTTTCTACAATACAATTAAGTACAAGTGAAAGTTAATTCTGACTCCATCATTTTAAATAGTTTAATTTTTTAAATATTTTAAATTTTATATAAATATCACCTCAATTAATAAATTATAAAACTGATTTCTACACTGTTAAGTTTAAAAAATAAACTAAATAAATTCAAAATTGTAGTGATACATTATTAGTTTTGATTTTATTAGCAAAATATTAAAATATTGTTATATGTAAACAAAACAGAAATATAGCATAATCAAACTAGAGCTATCAATTTAAATAAATATAATTATTTTAATCATCAAAATTCATTTTATAGCAGTGAAAAAAGCAATATGTTTATAGCTTATTAGTATAACAAATATTGCTCTATGTATCTAAACTGTCAAAGTTCTCTGAAATAATAATATTACATAGATGGGAGATAAATTTCTGGTAATTATCAGCTTTCAACATACAAATTCATGTAGGAATATCTAGTGATATCAATTAAAGCATAGATTTAATGTACAGAAAATGAATGAGAGAGAACCAAAAACATGTGAATATATGTTTCACTGATGATTTCAGGAAAATGGCAAGTGAATGTCTGTGGTGTACAAAGGATTTTTCACATTTTATAAAGATGCTTTTAGTGACTTTAGACTAGAGACAAGTTCATCGGTTCATTCATAAGTGCAATTTAAAAATCAGCATACAACCCTTCTTTCAAATTGTCTTTTAAACACAAATAACCTACAGGTTATCCTATACTATATGAACACACCTGAATTTACTTGCCGAGTTTTTTTCTCTTTATTCAAACATTTTCAGCCTATTTGGATAGGCCATCCTCAGGTTTTCCTTTATCGTTCCAAAATGGAACCATTCGTTCAAATTTCATTTTCATTTGAATTTTTGAAATAAGTTAACAACTTTTTGTATATTACATAAATAAACAAAATACAGTGGTACCTCAGGATACGAAATTAATCCGTTCTGAAACTGAGATCGTATCATGAAAATGTCGTAAGGTGGATCATCTTTTCCCATACGATTACATGTAAAACCAAATAATTCGTTCCAACGTGAAAAACATACTCAAATTAAAGCCAAGTAATACATTAAAAAAAATAACCGTAGTAAGAAAAACAAATGAAAAATGCGAACTAATGTAACGTCGTATGGTGAGTTTTTGTTCGTATCGTGGAGCAAAAATATGTTCGAATTTCATGTCGTATCCTGAAAATTTCGTATGCTGGGGCGTTCGTAACCTGAGGTACCACTGTATATAAAATAAATAAATAAAATATATCCCTATACGTGCTACAAAAATTAAATAACATATTTTTACATGTGTCTAAATCATAATATAATAACTTTTTATAATCTCCAGTTCCTATTTTATGGATTATTGAAACCCATACATTTTTCTATTTTGTATTTCCATGTTGTTGGTAATGTATTTGCATCCTTTTCATTTAAACATTGGTTCCTCATTTTACTTTTGTATATCTCTATTTTTTCCATTTCCATCGCTATAGACGGTGAGTGCACCGTTCTTATGATCTTCGCTTCATCCCACTGAACTATTGCAATGGAGGAATATATTAAAAAAACAGATTGTGAAATTGTAGATGAAAAGATATTAGCAATCACGGATAAGAAAGTTAAAAAACTTGAAAAATCACCACTAACGTTGGTCTTAACGTTCCTAAAAAAATCACATAACCCCAATCCACAGATGCTTAGAATATTCGTATTCGCGAAAACGCACAAAGAAAATAAGGAAATCAGGCCTGTAATAAAAAAATGTAACACACCAATGTATACACTGGAAAAAAGATTAAAGGAATACATAAAAGGAAAAATGGAAGATAATGGTTATGTGACTCATGATCCAACCAAAGTAGTAAAACAAATACAAAACTTAAATTTAATGAACGATGAAATAGGAACGGTGATGGATTTTGAGAGTCTGTACCCCTCTATGAATCTATCCTCTTGCTACAGCGAATTAATTGAATTCATGGTATAACAAAATCAAGACATACTTGGAAAACCTACAGGATTTGGCAAACCTAGTTTGTTTTCAGTCCTTTTTTAAATTCAATGGAATAGTATACCAACAAAAGAAAGGGGTCCCAATGGGAAGTCCTATATCAGGACTCCTATGTGAACTAGTAATAAGAAAATTGGAAAAGAACATCCTCAAAGATTTTTCCGAAAGCATCATATTATACAAACAGTACATGGATGATGTTGTGAGATTAGCAGTGGGCCACTGGGCTCATCCCAAATGACCACTTACTCTGCAACAGGTTGGTAAACCAGTTCTCGGCTTGTCGGATGGCTAGGAGGGCAAAAATTTGAGTGGGGAGTGCGTCGGTAAGTCGGTAGGTGTCCTTCAGAGACAGGAGACAGGTTTAAAAACTAAACAAGCATTTATTTATATAACTAAGCTAGGATACATAGGTTAAATGCGATTAAATAAGTTCACTATACAAAAGGGACGCTCTAATAGCTTTACCTGCTAGTCTGAGAGAGAGTTCACAAAGCTCTAAAAAGTAAAAATACCTCTATGCGGATATGTCTAATATGCTTTTGCTGAATATGTTCGTTAATGGAAGTTCAAATGGCTGTGGTTGGTCGTATGTCCTTTCGGTCCGGAGTATGGAGACAAATATGGCGCATCTACCAAGTATAACTTCCGAGGGATCGCTTGGAGCTTTCAGGGACTTGAGCTTTTATACGTTATTTGTGGGAAATGAGTCACGTGATCGACTTCTGTTGACACTTACGGTGCATTCCAATCAACAACTGTCAACTTTCGCACCGTAATGTGAAAACAATCTGTGACCTCTGATATACTTCTCACCAAGAGTGGGTTTTTCCTCGGAGTTGTTTGCAAAGATTTTTCCGACATCAGCGTAAAAATCGCGGATTTCACACCATTCACCACTTTCTTTAAAATTATACTTTCGAGTATAATTTTAACATTTAAATTTAGATTACTCTCTCTCTTTTTTTGACATGGGTTTCCCGACAATAAAAATTTCTCCATGTAACAAAGACAATTGGTTGACGCGTTACATTGTTGAGGCTGTTGACCTACTGTCACAGTTTCCGTGTTGATGATTCCCCGTCTGTTGATAGTTCAGAAATTCTACACCGGTTCAAAGTCATTCGATGTAGGTAAGTTGTTTGATGCTAGTAGACTGCGTTGTGGTCGTTGAATCGGCATCAGTCTTTTCTGAAGCACAAAGTTCACTTTCACTGTTTGCAACAAAAATCAGTTTGTTTCTATTCCTGTTGAGCAGAGCGAGAGGTATATGTGTTACAAAATTGTCGTAACTAATTTCTCTCTCTCTCTATTTTCTAATCTAATTAGGGTCCTATGTCCTATCACTAATCCTAAACCTGATGAAATCTGGTAATAGGAGTTTAAACTAGGAAGTATACGAATGGCAGTATATTTGAAACCTTTATATGCTCCATTATACATACCTTCATGGTCGAAGGACCCGTATAGATATAAACTGTCTGCATTTAAGGCACTTATCAAGAGGGCCTTCTTGTACTGCACCAATGTGCAAGACCGTGACAAGGAAATGGATAGAATACAAAAGGTAGCAAGGAGTTTAGGATACAAAACGTCCACAATCAGAGGCCTCATCAGAAATTATGGGAAACAAAAAACTACAACTACAACACACAACAATACAGCTGCATTCAACAAGTTCACATACAATGAACAAACAAGAAAAGTAGTGGATGAGCTAGAAAAATACAAAAATACAAAGATAATTTACAAATGAGCACCCAACATATATAGATTATTAAGAAACGATAAGGACAAAATAAAAATGGAAGAACAAGCGGGGGTGTACACTATCCCATATGAAAACCAACAAATAGGAGTCGATAAAGAATATGTAGGGGTGACCAGAAGAAACCTTGCAGTGCGTGTAAAAGAGCACAAGTACAGTGTTAATAAAGGCCTTAATAGCACGATATTGCACTTATTGCACAATATTGCACTTAATAGCACGATATTGGCAAGCATGGCGCAGGCGGATGGAGCAATAGTTAAGTGGGATGAAGCGAAGATCATAAGAACGGTGCACTCACCGTCTATAGCGATGGAAATGGAAAAAATAGAGATATACAAAAGTAAAATGAGGAACCGATGTTTAAAAGAAAAGGATGCAAATACATTATCAACAACATGAAAATACAAAATAGAAAAATGTATGGGTTTCAATAATCCATAAAATAGGAACTGGAGATTATAAGAAGTTATTATATTATGATTTAGACGCATGTAAAAATATGTTATTTAATTTTTGTAGCACGTATAGGGACATATTTTATTTATTTATTTTATTTATTTATGTAATATACAAAAAGTTGTTAACTTATTTCAAAAATTCAAATGAAAATGAAATTTGAACGAATGGTTCCATTTTGGAATGATAAAGGAAAACCTGAGGATGGCCTATCCAAATAGGCCATCCTCAGGTTTTCCTTTATCGTTCCAACGTTTGAATAAAGAGAAAAAAACTCGGCAAGTATTTCAGGTGTGTTCATATAGTATAATTAACATTGCTGAGAAGGAGAGAGATACAGGTTATCTACATGAAATTACAGTATTATACAATTTTAAATTTAATTTTAATAATTTTACTTTTGGAGATTTCAACAGTACTTTTAATTTCATAAATTATGTAATTTATATGTTTTGTCAAATTTTATTTAATTATATTTTAAATAGATATATACTTGTTTTATATTTTCAGTGGTAATGTACCATTACATGTTAGTTTTGATATTGATGCTCTTGACAAAGCAATTGTGCCATGTACAGGGACACCAGGTATTATTAAATTTTCTAATTTGTACTTTTTATGAAAAATTTTTAATCATCAGTAATTTTTCTTAATAGTAATAATAATAATTTTGTCTTGCCATAAACCCCACTATTCAATAAGTTAAACAGTACTAAACACAGATTCATCATCAAACACAATACATATTATCTCAACTCATGTACAATGGATGATGTAAAGCTCTACATGTCCACACAAGCGAAATTGCTTATTAAGTGTTAAACACAATTACTCCATTGAAAATGAAATGGAATTTGGCCTAGATAAATGCAGAACACTTCACACCAAAAAAAAACCTGATTTTGTACTTGGAAATGGAGAAATCATTGAATATGTGGATGAAGTCTACAGATATTTAGGATTCCAACAGGCCAAATTCACAGAACACAAATAAAACAAAGACTAACAGAAGAATACAACAGTAGATTAAACTTAATACCAACAACACTGCTGAATGCAAAACATGCATTTAAAGTAATCAACACATATGTTGAATCAGTACTGACATATTCATTTGTAGTTCTAGTTCTGTATGTGCAATGTATAACAACTCCAAAATAACACATGAACAACATTAATAAAGCATAACAAACACCACCCTAAGTTGTGTTGTCGTATGCACGTGGTGAGTTTTGATTTTTACAAAGAGGCAGGTATTAAAACAATAAAACGTGCTTTTATTTTTTCTCGTATAAACTTCCACAAGAGAGGTTCGTGTGGATTACGACACTCCTGATTCCTTATTTTCCAACAAAAAAAAAAACAACACCTGTTCAGATCCACAGTCGAAAAAGGTTTTTTTTTCGCAATACAAAGGAAATACTTATTTTCTAACTTAAATCTACTTACTCTAAATAAAAAAAAAGAAAGAGAGAAAAGGATAGATCATGAGGGACAGGAATATAGTTTTAAGCATAAACGGGTACCCGAGTCGGCGATCGAGGTGGCGGTGGTTGGATGACGTTGTCCTGGAATTTCTTTTGGGGATGGATCGTATGGGAGAGTCTACAAATAAGTTTCTTAGTTCTTTAGCCTACAAATGTCCTTAGTCACGATACTTCTTTCTTCCGAACGTTTCGTGACCTTCTTCCAGTCGATGCTACAACGACCTGGAGACCTCTGACGCGTCTTCCCTCTTCTACGTCCAAAGCAAAAATGACTCTCTCATCTCCCACTTGCCCTCTGGGCTATTTCTTTTCTTTTGTCCCCTAACCAGGTCAGCCACCACCCACACTTGAAAGAAAGTTCCAGGAAGTATACAAAGGAACACAGAACAAAGAAGGAAGGGAAAATAGAAAAACACACATAAAACATATATATAAAATATAACAAAATACATTGGTGTATCACCACAGTTGTCCCGTAGAAAGGCTGACTCTTCCTCAGAGAGAAAGGAGAAGAGAGAGAGACAATGAGGCTGCACAGATATTTTAAACCTGCACTAAAATAAACACAGACACTGCAAGAGTTTTTCTATAGAAAGCAAGAAACATCACAATTACACAAAGCTGTAACTCTTGCAGGAAAAAAAGTACACAAATCAAAGACACCATCAGAAAGTCTTAGGCTCAGACATAGCTCCAAGGTAGGCACCCTATTGATTTCAGCCAGGATTGCATTGGCAGAACTGCATCAAACTGTCAGCTGACTCATGGATGCCTCTTAGAAGGGTTTATGATTGTCATATATCTCTCCAAAGATCAGGTTATAAATACAAAAAATTACAGAAAGCACATATTAAAAGACAACATTTACAAATGACACCTGTAAGAAATGCCACATCACATATAAGACAATGCATCACATCACATCACATCAAATTGCAAATTTTTAACACAAACTACTATACACCCAACAACCATACTACAAATATACATCTCAGATGGTCATAGAAAACAACACACAAAATAGTATATACTGTGACTATGCACTTATGGGAGCAGCCTTTGGCACTTTGACTGAATTTTATTATTCACAAAGAATTGGATTCTTTATTGAGATTTGTGCATTGTATAAAACCAATAAACAAAGGTGTGACACACAAAGTGTAAGATTTAAGGCACACATGTTGAAATATGACATAATACAATGGTTTATAGACCACAATACATATTTAATTTGTGGAACATATCTAGGATGTTTTTTCCATTCATTCTTGAAAATGGATTAAAGAATACAATTGTAGAACAGGTAGTACCAAAATAATCCCGACCTTAATGTGGGGTAAGAGTTGTCTGAGGACCTCACAATACAACACACCTCAGAGCCAATAGATAATCATAAACAATTTATAACAATTTATACATGTGCACATATAGCAATCAATAATATTAGCAATTCAATAATTACCGATCATGCAGCGATTAATAATACCTGATTGGTACAATCAGCTTGCTAATTACAAATCCGATAGTTAAAAATTTACAGTTAAGTACAAGGAGAGTCCATGTCATCGATCCGCTTGCATACGATTCTTCATAACGACGATATAGCCCATATTCAATAACAAAAGGGCAACCCCTTTTGTTATTGAATATGGACTATATCGTATGGATAATCATGTGTTGGAAAATGTTATTTATCACAAAATAATGTAGCAAGGGTTTCTAACCCGCGAAGTTTTCTCTTCTATAATTGGAGATATTGTTCCTCATATCATTCACCTGTCGATGCAGTTGGATTTTTCTTTCCTTCCCCTTCGATCTCTCCCAACTCATATATCGTTCGTATATGGCAACCCTTACCTTCCTTCTCCTCGTTCTTGGTCTTGTAACGGTTCTTCCAGCACATGCAGGTTATAGAAAACAAAGATCCTCTTCCATTGTGGGGTTACCCTTTTATATCTCTCCTTTGTTCAGATCTTCCACCTCCTATCACGTGGTCTCTTGAACAGCCAACCAACAGTCCACCGACCACCCCTTCACAAAATGTGGTGCGCGACATGAAGGAAAAATGACATGCACGCGTTACAAAAATAACAAAACCCGATACGTATAAGAAAAAAATAAGCAAAACGAAAATATAATTTACAAGAAAAAAAGTGCATAGCACTACACAATTATTGATTCATTTTTCTGCAAGGAAGAGCAAAGGGCTCTCTTTTGGGATAAATGTGATTGTTTAAAGATTTCTGAAAGATTATTGAATCTTTCAGAACAAGTCTTTTAAATGTTATCAGTTCTTAATGTTATATAAATCTTCTAATAATTTTGTTATAAAATGTTTAATCTGATAATTTAAAGTTTATTAAAAATATAATGATACAGTAGTACCTCAGGATACGAAATTAATCCGTTCCTAAACCAAGATCGTATCATTAAAATGTCGCAAGGTGAATCATTTTTCCCCATATGATTACATGTAAAACCAAATAATCCATTCCAACACAAAAAACACACTCAAATTAAAGCTAAGTAGTACATTAAAAAAATAATAACAACAACTATAGTAAGGAAAACACTGAAAAATGTATTTTGTAGTTGTAAATGTATAAATAACCATAATAGAATAATAATTGATTAAAAAAAATGTAGTTTTATTTGCAATTTACCTTTGAGGATAGACGACAGTGGAAGTTTAAACTGATGGCGGAGGAGAGGGAGAAGGAAAATGATACTAAAACTTAATTTACATAACATAATGTAACAATAACTTAACACAAATTTTTTTATCTTTTCTGTTTTATATATTTTTTTAATTTTCTATTCACTGCTTTTTGCTTTCTTTCCTTCACTTCCATCAGCACTTTCCCTGGATAGAGGTCACTTGGTAAAATATCTATCCAAAGAGGTCTGGCTTTGCCTACTTTTTAAAATGTTTCTAAAATGACTTAGGCAAATGTCATTACTCTGAGCAGCAATACGGCCAGTGTGAATCTTTTCGGAATGTTTCTTTTCAATTAAATCAGTCATTTTCTGATAATACCTCAAGATTTCTTTTATCGAGCGAGATCCTTCCACAACAAAGCAAACACATGGACTGAGACCAATGAACAGAAGGAACACATGATCATGGCAGTGGCGCTGCGAACTAATGTAACGTTGTATGATGAGTTTTTGTTCGTACCATTGAACAAAAATATGTTCGAATTTCATGTCGTATCCTGAAAATTTTGTATGCTGAAGCATTCGTATCCTGAGGTACTACTGTATTAATAATTTCATTTGATCAAATATATTGTGATGTGGTTGCTAAATATATGTATATATTAAGCATTTATATATATTAAATATTTTCATATTGATTTTTAAATAGTTTCTGGTGGATTAACTTTAAGAGAAGCTGTTGTGATTGCTGAGGAAGTAGCAAAAACAGGTATTTCAAATTATTTTAGGCAATAGAATTTTTCTTTTTTAAAAAATTGATATCTTAAATAAGTTATGAATCTTAGTAAAATATTTAAGATATGTCTTGAAATTGAGTAAAACTGGCATTATATTTAAATTCAAGATAAAATTACATTGTTTAAGGAAAACAAAAAATTAGAATTTAGTTGAAAAATGTTTTTGGCTTACATGTTTGGACAGCATGAGATAATGATATACAATATATTACCAAAATTAAAAACACTCCTAGCAATATTGACTCTAGTCTGCTGTAGATGTCACTTATGACCCTCACATATTGCTGGTATTACTGGGTGGTTGCAAATTCAGATAGTTAGCAAAAATATAATAAACAATGACTATATCATAAATGTTGAGCATAAGGATGTACAGTACACATTAAAAGAACCAAATTACATAGATATTAAACAAACCACAACATTAGTATAAATTAGGAGCAATAACACTGCTGTACAGTTAGTGTAATCCACAAAAAGGATAAGGTAAAATATTCTATATGTGACTAATGCAGAAAATACTCTTACTGAAATGTTGAAACAAAAATGAAAACTAATATAAACTAGAGTCCCGTACAGCACACAAATAAAACAAGCAACAATGTCGAATTTTGTCGATCAGAGGTATACTTTTTTTTTTTTTCAACTTATAGGCCAAGGTTTAAACTTTCATAAATTGTGTGATAATGCAGGTTTCGATAACACGATTTCCTATAATGCGTAACAAATCCCCCGCGTTGTATGGGACTCTACTTTAGTATTGCATTTAGTTATTTTTTTATGAGTGTAGTACTTATCATATTGTAAAGAGATGGATATTAAAATGATCCTAAAATTTGAATCAAGTTAATTCAATGTTATAGGCACCCTACACATTCATCTGTTTAAAATTTTAGATTCTAAGAGCAACTACATTTATATTTATTCACATTAAGCTACACAAAGTTGGAATTGCAAATCAATTTAAAGTTATCTATAAAAATATACTGCCACAGCACTATGGCATTAGTAATGTAGATTTGAAAACAAAAACATAAATATACATAAACTGTTTAATTAAATTCAGAGGATTTATTTATTGATGATTTATCAATGTATATTTAATCATTTTAATTTAAAATTTTATTGGTATCAGTACTGGTTCTAGCCTTATCTGCAGAGCCAGCACAAAGAAAAGCAGGATCTGGTATAAAATTCTCTTGCAGGACCTTCTGAAAAAGTCAAGTAGATTTTTTTTATTAGACAGTTAATTTTATTTTAAAATGTTTAATTTATATTAATATTTAAGATAATAAAACAAGACAAATAAATATTCATTCATTCCTATTTTGCCTTTTGCTTTCTAAAGCCTATATCTATTTTAAATTACACAAGATCCTGTGCCAATGCACCATTCACATTGCCTTTGGTCTAGTCCTGCTTATATGCACTTTGGTTAGCAGACTAATATCATGTTAAAACTTCTTGCACAATGTATAAAAAAAATATATTGTAAATTTTGTACTTGTTCTCTCTTTGTACCAAGCAGTTGCACAGTTTAATAGCATGTAAAGCCTGCACTGATTGGTGTTAACTAATTAACTAATTTCTATAATACAAAAATTTTCTAAATTTATTATTTGTGTTACAGGAAATCTTTCTGCTTTAGATATAGTTGAAGTTAACCCAAAACTTGGAACACCACAGGATCTAGAAATGACAGTTAATGCAGCTATAGATATTGTATCAGCATTTTTTTATAAAGATCGAATCGGTGATATGCTAACTATATAAATATATACAACAACAAAAATTAATATGAATAAAGTATATCAAGACAGGACTTACTAAATAATTAAAATAATTTTTAACTTGAAAAAACAAACCTGTCTGGACATACAAGATTCAGACAAAGATTATAATATATTTATAATGGTACAGTAATCATTACAAGAAGTAAATCTGGATTTTAACAAATTGTAACAAAGAACATTTCATGTTACCTATTTATTATACATTTTATATTGAATTTATGAAGTTCTTCAAAAGCTTTTGTTTTATAGACGTATTATTTTAATATATTAAAATGTCATATTAATACAAGGGCTATTTTTTAAATAAGGTCCGTTTGTGAATGAAAGTGAGAATGATGTGCGATTGCAGCAGTGTGCATGAGCATCTGCTTTCAGCATACTTTGCATGTGTTTAGATGCTATTTGCAGTCATATCGTCTGTCTGTGTGCTGTGCTGTAGAAGTTTATAATGTTTAAGAAAATTGAGTCGCCTGCCAACTGAAAGATATGATCTGTTGTTCGATTTCAGCACGAAAGATCATGGTAACTGTCTTTTGGGACAGGAAAGGGACTTTGTTAGTGGATTTTATGCCAAGAGGCAGAACAATCAATTCTGATGCTTATTGTGACCTTAAGAAAACTCCACCATGCCATACAAGACAAGCAGAGTGGCCTAATGTCTTCTTGCGGCAGATTTCTTTGAAATCGGAATTTTAAAAATTTTTGAGCTGTTTGACAAATGTTTGAACAAAAATGGAAATTATGTAGAAAAGTAGATAAAAGTGTAGAATATGGGAAAAAATATATTTTAACGATATTTACAGTATTTTTCTTCTTATCAAAAAATGGACCTTATTTAAAAAATACCCTTTGTATTATATTCACATTTAAGAAACATCTGTAAACAAATACAAAAATTTTTCATGATGTTATAAAGAAGAATTAAATTTAATGTTGTTTATAGGTATTTTTGTTTTATTTGAAAGAACAAAAAATTATTTATTTGAAAATGAAGAGAATTAGAGGTAGCATCTAATGAATATAATCTGTAACACACTGCATAACAAAAAAAAAAAAAACAGGGTTATACAATGTTAGGATTCAAGTGTCTGGCCTGGACTTTTATGAGAACCAAAAAGCAATAATAATAATAACTCTCCCGTGGTCACCACCTGGTCGTGGTGGGAGAGCCCAGTAATTTTACAGATCCATAGGGCAATGCAGGCTGGAGCACAAGCTCCTGGTAGGGACACCCATGCCAGTAAGGTCTATGGGGAGAAATGAAGCTAAGAGTGACCACACACCCACATTCTGTGGAGATAATCATTATNCTATATTGAATACATGCCATATTGTTAGGAAATTCCTTAATACAGACACTGACACACACATTTAATTTTAGTTTTGTTTTGGTTGCTATGCCTTGACTCTGGTCCGGCATAGTACACAGCCACCGGTGTGTACCGAGTATAACCCACCAAACCCAACACATAATAATAATAATAATAATTCAACAAAAACATGTATAAGTAACAATTCACAATGAAATATTTATTAAATTGAATAATACAAAAAAACAACAATTGATTAATTGTACCAACAGTTAGTATATTTGTCAAATACTCAAATAGACAAGTAAACAAAAAATAAATAATCAATCAAAACAGAAGGTCTTATTTCATACATTAGTAAATCCACAATCCAATCTCCACCTAAAAGAAATACTCAAAGTATATATTTCTTACACTAGTCACTTCTCAAAGATGTGCCTACAATGGTCATTGCCAGGAGCTACACCACACAGCTGTATTGGATGTGCCGTCTTTTATCCAATATTCAGTGCAGCTCTGCACCGCCTAATTTACATCAATTTGAATCACGGGATCAGTCACTGATGCAAAATTAGTATCTCGGCTTTTTTACTTTGTTTGCACAAAGAGGGTTTAGGAGTGTGTCCTTAAAAAAAAGAAAATCCCCGAAAAGAAAATAACTGTTACTAAGATAATGCCCAAAAACATAAAATAACGAATGGACTGACTCCTTACAAATCTAAGTATAATTTCATCTGTTTGAGACTGAATTCACTTCATGTATGATACATACATGAACATAATTTATATTTTATCATTCTAAGTATAAGCAAAATATTTATTATTTGAATATTTTACTTTAGTGTTAATAATTGATATCCTGGTTTTGAACACAGGTTGACCATCGTAAAAAAATTTTTGTTGTCTTTTAACAGATTCACTAATTAGCAAAATTTAAAATAATTCAAACAGATTTATCAAAAAAATTAAAAAATGAACAAGTGCTTAATTGATATGCTTAGTGAAATAATTTCTCAGAATATTTCTATTAATTCAAATAAAACATTTTAATTTGTAAAAGGAGATTTTTTGAGTGAATATTGTTCACATTTATTTTTTTAAAAACTGCTTGTATGCAATGAAAACACACAAATATACCCAAAACTAGTAAAATGAACAAAAATTTTCCTTTTACTAGTTTTGTGTATATTTGTTTTTCGTTGAATATTGTTCTAATGCAAATTCTCTACTTATTAATTTCACAACTTCAGCATAATTTAAATAATTAAACCCTTGCTCTGGTTATCCCCATGATGGTCTTGGAATAAACCTCTTAATGTCCACAGAGTGAAAAGATTAATGCATTTTACTTCTCCTTTTTAAACATTTAAATTATTATTATTATTATGTTGGGTTTAATGAGTTATACTCAGTTGACACAGGTTAATGTTCCCAGGCTTTTGTGTAGTGTGTGTACACATGTTTAGGAGAGAACAACAGGTACAATAAGCACCTTATACATCCTCAGATGCTTTATTTCCTGGGTGAGTTTTGTGTACTTGCTGATTTTTTCAGTGCATGTGTTTTGTACATTGCGAGTGTTTGAAATGGATATGTCTATAATGTATGTGATTTTATTGTGTTTGTCAATGAGTGTGATGTCTGGTCTGTTGTGGTAAATTGTTTTATCTGTGATTATGGCTCTCTTGTACATGTTGTTTTTCAATACGGTCTGTGGAATGTAGTATGGTTTGTGGATGTCTAATAATTTGTGTTTGTTTGCAAGCTCTTGGTGTATTACATTTGCTACTTGATTATGTCTATGTAAATAATCTGTCTGTGCCAAGAGCTTGCAACCAGAAGTGATGTGTTGTATAGTTTCTAGCATGATGTGACATTTTCTGCATGAGTGTTGTATCTTTGAGTATGTGTTGTGAGTGTTGAGTTTTGCGCACGATAAAACAGTCAACATTAAGAACAAAGAAAAACATTTAATTGCACAAAATCGGAAGTATAGCCAGCAAGGGAGCGTTGGTGATATCGACAATAGACGACTCGCGGTATCCAGTCCAACTTCTTGCGTTTATAGAGATGATGCTTTTGAAATCTCAAACCTGCTCTGTCCTTTCTCTTCTCACTTGGTCTATCCATCCCTTAAGCAGTCCCTTTTTGTTCCCCCTATCACACCATACAAAAACAATTTCCCACTTCTTTTTATGATCCCCTCTCACCTCCTACACTTCATGCCCCCTTGTGTTACATTTAAATACACAAATGAAAAAAAAAAAAAATATAGAGAAATATTATAACGATCACAATTATTTACACAGACAACACATTAATGATATACATAAAAAAATATATCACGTGTAAACATTCACAAACTAAATACATCATGGTGGGTACTGCCATAGTGTTTTCTGTAGTTGTTAGTATTTATGACCTGATCCTGTATGGCAATCATGAATCCTTCCGTCTCCCCAAAGAGGCATTCTTGAGCTAACCAGCTGTTTAATGCAGTTTTGTCAACAAAATCCTGGGCCAGGTCATAGGGATGTCTGCCACGGAGTGCCTTTTGAACCACAATTGCTTGATGGTGTCTATGCTTTTTATATGTTGTGTTGTGTCCTTATGATGTGAGTTTATGTTTAATGGTGGTTTATTTGAGTCTGCTAGAATTACTGCTTTATGTATAAACAAAATATTTATTATTTGAATATTTATGTAACTGTAATGTTTCTTGTTTTTTATAAAAAATACTCTGTCTGTATTTGTTTGTAGTGAAGGTTTACTATGTCAATCAGGCCAGGTCCACCATCTTTGTGCGATTATTTTTATTATTATTATTATTAGTGTGTAGGAAACTAAAAATTAAATTATAAAACACTAGGGCAATTTAACAAAAATGGAACTGAATACTGATTGTCTCATCATTTCAACAGAGAAAATATTTTAATCCCATTTCTGAACATTTTAAATCTTGGGACTTAAAAATATTATTTCTACTATTAATGTTCCCAAAGCTATAATAATAAACTATATGATTATATGTTGAGTTGAACTTCAAATAAGCATGGCCTTACTTTGCTTTGTTCTTAATATTCCATTAAATGAAACGAGGTAAAAAATGCCATCAAGATCAGCAATCTTGATGGCATTTTTTTTTACTCTGTCCTGTAAGCACTAAGAAGGTCTTATCAGACACATTATGGATTTGACTGACTCATAATGGATAGCCAGATGGTGGAGGATAGACCCCAACATATCGAGGATGGACAATCCCCGAAAAATTCTTAGAATGTTTTGAATTGCCAAGATTTGATCCCAGTTCTTCAGTATGGTAAGCTGACACTTTAACCAGGACTGTGGAGTCAGTAGACCAAATCCCTGACTCTGACTCATAGAATTTTAGAAAGTACAACTCCAACTCTTACCTCTAAATAATAATTTGAAACATACTTTGATTATGTTAATCCAGAATGGCATTTCATCATACCAAGTGAATCAATCATCAGATATTTCTATCAAAACTGAAAGTACTTATCTTTTATTCACATAGATTTTCATTATCACTATTATCTTCTTCATCTTCAACTACACATTGATATACAAAATGTTTTCCATCTGTGGTTATAATAAAGTATTCAAAAACACTAGATTAAACTAGAATCTTCTTATCAATTTTATGAGTCTTTTGAATAAAAATTAAAATTAGTTAATACAGAATGTATTCAAATATACATTTCTGAAAAGAAAATCAGCAGTAATTATTTATGTGCAAAGAAAGATCATGAAGTAGGAGAATCATCATAAAATAAGATCTAATATTATAGGAGGCTCCTATAATGCAAGATAGGAAGTTAATGCTCCAATTAAGAGCTTAATATAAAGTACAGTACATAATAAAAAACAGGAGTTGGAGTTGGAAAAAATGGACCAACTCTAACTCCTCAACAACAAATTTTATTCCAACTACAACTTCACAGCCCTGAATTGCCTTGGTCGTCTGGTCAGCTCTGACTGCATATCGCTCAGAAGTTTTGTGAGGGTCACCTTTTACTCATTGCAGATCAAGGAGCAAATCTCAAGATGATCTTTAACATATTCACACACACACACAAATGTAGCTTGAAATAATTTTTATTAGAGCCTCTTTGCCAAAATTATATTTATTATAAAATATATATAATAGCT